GGCTCCCGGCATCCCGGAGCTCCTCCCGCAGCCCTGCGGCTCCTCAGCCGGGGGAAACAGGGAGGCGCCTGCCGCGCTGGGGATGGGCGCAGCCGGCGTAGCGGGCATCGCCTGCAGCCCCACAGGAAAGCCCCCGCACCGACACCCACAGCTGCGCTGTATTTTGAAAGCACATGTTGCTGTTCATTCATTTATTTATATTTTTATAGGAAGGCAATTAGGGCCCAGCGCGGTGCCCAGGTATGACATTTGCCGGCCTCGGTGGCAGGCAGGCTGCTCTCAAATGGAGGCCTTTCCGCAGAACAGCAGGAGCCAAAAGGCCTTGTGTCACACAGTTATGTAAGACACAATCTCGCCTGAAAATGCACAATGAATCGGGAAGGATTTATGTAATTAATTGACCAGTCTTAACCTGTTATCGTGATGTAAGGAATTTGGAACTCATTAATTTGGGCCCTGACAGATTTCATATTAGAGCTGGCAAATATGGATTGAGCCTCTTATTCTTGTAGCAGCTGGAATTTCCATGACAGTGAGGATTAGTGAAGAAGACCTATTGCTCAAGTCAAACTGCCTCTTTTGTAATCAGCAGCCCTGCTCTGCATTAAAGGGGTAATGGGAAAGATGAAAAAAAAATACAGAGAGAAAAAAGGGGAGAAATGTATTCATGGATGGAGCAGAGCAAGGGAGGGAGAAGAGGGATGTATCCTGGACAGCACAGGTACCAGAGTGGGGTTTTCCCAGCTCTGTGGCAATGAAAATGACACAAAGGCAGCCCTGGGGTGCTGGAAAGGGCCTGGAGGACTGGTCTGTGCTGTCACCATGGGCCTTGCTGCTTCTTGGGCCAACCTTCAGATGGACCCTCCCAAGAGCCACTGAGCACTTGGGGCTGCAGTGTCAGAGGTTCTGGGAACAGGGTCTGGGCTGCCAAGAGCTGGAGGGATTTAGGAAAATAAGGGTTTGGGTCATGATCCTGGGGAAGGCAGGGCTGGGAAGCACCTATAAAGACACATACTGAGACACCTTCACAGCCTGGACTGTGACACCCTCCCTCATGGGGAAAAGGATGCTTACGGTAGGTGAGAGATCCACGGACAAGGACAGGCCTCCATGCAGCCATGGCAAGGGTGACTGCACATTATATGCCTCAAGTTCCCCAGTACAAAGACAAGAAAAGGGAAAGTCCCTTTGTCTGCTGCTTTGTGACAGCCTCTCAGTTTGATTTTTCATGGTGCCTGGTTGGGGAGTGCCCTCATGCCATTATCACTTCTTGGCATTGATGCAATAGTAATAACATTGAGATCGGTCTGTATGGAAACAGTCTAGGGGCTTATGTTTTCTCTCCTGGCAACCTGTAAATGACTGCCCTGGTAGTCGATACAGTCATTAGCAATGACATTAAAAGGTTTTCATGAGGCCTCATCATATTTCTACATGCTAAGTGTTTACCTACTCTTGTGATAAATGCCATGCAGAAATGGAGGAGTGTTTTTCCTTTTTTCATTTTTTCCTTGCTTTATGCCATTTGGCACTTGAACATTTCCTCTTCACAATTGCTTAGATCCACCATTTGCTGCTGTGATGAGAAGGGAAAAGTTGTAAAACGGGTATGGACAGTAAAACCACAATTGTTTGCAAGGACTGTAAAGTCAAATGCAGATTTAAAAAGCCCCCATAGCTAATAAGGAGTTTGTGGCTCTTATCCTCTGGACATCTTTGACCATATACATGTTTGCCTTGATGTCCATCGTTATGTAGGGATAATTTATGAAACCTGGCACTAAAATGTATTCAGTCCTAAATTTGGACCATTAATCTGTGTCATAGCTTTGATCTTCTTGATGTAAAAACAAAACAAAACAAACAAAAAAGTCAGACCAATAGATTGCAATTGGATTGTTCTCCTTCAAAAAATGTATTTTGTCTTACTGTCTCCTTAAAAAATCTTGACACATGTCAACTATCTCATATTTTCCAAAAGGTAAGGAATAATTTATTATTTATGACACTACAGCCAACTCAACTATTGTCTCAATCAGTTTATCTTTGCTTCTCTGGTGATCAGGAGCAGCAAACCACCCAGGTACTGCTGCAGTTATAGGTTTTGTCCAAATGTTCCTCTTGTTAAAATGTTGATCAGACACATCTAATTTCCATGTTAAACATGCCAGCATATGTCTAAGTTTAGAATTATTTCAAACTGCAATAAAAAAGCATTTTCAAGTTTAAATGGATACAGTAATTACAAGTATTTGCACGTTCTCACGTTCTCTGATTTCTTCCCATGGTTATATTTAAAATATGTGAATATGTGTTAGTGGTAGAACTTTCCTGTGATACTCATGATTTTGAATGTTTGCAAAATTACTTCTGGTATCTGTTTCTTTTCTTATTTTTCTTTTTCTTTTTTTTTTTTTTTTTTTTTTTTTTTTTTTTTTTTTTTTTTTTTTTTTTTTTTTTTTTTTTTTTTTTTTTTTTTTTTTTTGGCTTGTAGATAAGAAAACAGTCATCAGATGAGATTAATATTTTGTCAGGTTCTTGCACTATTTTTACTCTTTTGATGGCTATTCAGAAAGCAAGGAAAAGATTATACGGAAAAAAAGCCCCATAATTAGGCCTTCTGAACAAACATGTATTTTCTTCAGATATTTTGTTACTAGAACAATACTAGAGGACTGATTTAGTTTTTGTGCAAATACTAAATGAAAAATTCACAGTAGAAGTGGGTAAGATGTATCAAGCACTGATTCAGTTGAGCTCAATGGTAAAAACTTTGTGCTGCTTGTGTGGGGGTTAAAAAATTCTGGTTTCTGAATGATGTTGAGATTAATAATGACATTTTTGTTGGAAGAAATAGGTAGCCTTTTTGAATATGCTGTAGTAAATTTTTTTCCTGTAAACAGAAAAATGTTTGCTTTAAAATAGAGAACATCTTAAAACAGTCATTTTCAAATAAAGTGATTTTTTGTTTGTTTGTTTCTGAAAGACAATATTTAGGAGTACTTCTGGATTTATTTCCTATTTTTGGTGTACTTATGTTAAGTCATGGGTCTTCATAGGCTCATAGAATGGGTTGGGTTGGAAGGGTCATTAAAGTTCCAAACCCCCTGCCATGGGTAGGGACACCTCCCACTAGACCAGGTTGCTTAGAGCCACTTCCAACCTGGCCTTGAAAACTCTCACAGATGAGTTGTCAACAGCTTCTCTGGGCAACCTGTTCCAGTGTTTCACCAACCTCACAATAAAGAATATTGTCCTGATATCTAATCTTAACCCACCTTCTTTTTGTTTAAAGCCATTTCCTTTGTCCTACAGGATCAATAATAGTGATGATAAAGTGGACTACAAAGTCTATTCTTTCCCTTTTCATGTTCATGCTTTCAAAATGCCACTTATTTCCAGTTTCTAAGACCTCTCATAAGTTCTTATTTCCTGTTATTTCACAGTTAATGAAAACAGTTTCAAAAGAGCAGTATCTCATGCTTCAGAAAGAGAGTACTTGTGATTTTTCTGAAGTCGCTCTTCTGAGCCAAGTGTCAGAAATCTTGATTCTGTTTTATTTCCTATATAAGCAATACATTCTTAAAAGGTTTCTGCAAGGAAAAGGCAGTCAGCAGCCATAGGTGGCCAAGACTTTTAAAAGCCTGGGGCAGATGAGGGTGTTAAAAACTTGAAACTGCAGCCCTGAGTTTTCCATAACACTCCCCACTTACACCTGGATGAGGAATTTTAGCAGCTTTGCATTTCTGGACGCTATTTTTTTTTTGGAGTTGGTTGGTTTTTGATACATTTTGGGCTTGTGTTTTTATCCCTGTGTGTGGATAAAAACAGCCAGTGTAGGGCTGAAAGCTGGGCAGGTCTCCTAGGAGAGAGGCAGCACCCTATTTCTGTCTTGCCCCTGCAGTCTACTTTCAGCATTTGCTGGCAGCCTCTATCCAAGAGCAGATTCAGAGTCCCAGGACCTGCTGGTTTGACCCAGTTCTTAGTTTTTCTTGAATGCAATGGCTGTCAGGCCATAACATAGAACTTGGTCTGGACCAGAACTCATCTTAAGAAATTGGGCTTTAATTAGAATCCTCAGTGTGGGCCAGGAGTTCACCCACAATGTTCAGCATTCCTGTGTTCCCATTTGTGTCTGCACACCACTTTTTACTTTTGATGGTCATTTGAGGGCTTTGTGTGTTGAACTATGAGACTGAGGCACTAAAAGTGCAGGGATAGGTTTTCTTAGAAGCTAATACTGACATAAGGAGTTTGATTGCTAAACAAATTTAGTTACTCTGGCTCACTCCCTGAAGAAGCCCATCACTCACCTGATGTGCAAGAGCCTTGGGAGACCTGGTCCTAGGACAGAAAAGTAA